GGAGACACCGTTTTAAGTCAGTTTTGTCGGCTGACTCAAAGGACATTTCATGTTCGTGTAAGGAAATACCTGGTCCTTCACACCTTCCTTTCCCCATTAAGAAAGGATACAATTTCCAAGTGTTTCATCTTAAAAAAAAAAATATGTTTGAATACAGAAAAGCATTGCTTAGCTATAAAAGGTTACCCAAATAAAGTTTTTCAGAAAGCTATGTATGCTGTGCTGTTGCCCAGGAGATGGCTGAGGAGGGGTGTCCTGTCCCACCCTGGTTTAACCACACCTTGCCCTCAGCAGCAGAGAAGGACCAGAGTGATGCACTGTCCTCTTGACAGCTCAGACTCCTTTTGTTCTGCCAGGCTGCAGCACCATCTTGGTAGAACAGCTGTACTCTCCATGAACAGTAAAAATGTGTTTTAAGCTGCTTCTGGATGACGGTGGGGATCAGTAAACACAGGATCATTTCCAAAACATAAGCTCTTGGGGTAGAACTATTACCTGTGCCCAATTGAACAAAATAGTAGTGTTTTTACTTGCTTTTACAGTTCAGGCCTGCTGGCTGGCCAGGACTGGAAACACAACCAGTCTAGTGCCTGACTCAGCTATTCCACCTGGAAGATGCCCAGCTAAAACACATGTATTAACAAGGAGAATAGATTTATCAGTTATATAGGGAATTTATCTGCCTATAGGGAACAAAGAAAGATGCAAATCAACTGTCACAGGAAAGACATAAAAGCTCATGTGAGCTGTTTTCCCTATAGAAGCAATCTGAATGATTGACAAGCTTCAGGGCAGCTTAGATGACAAGTCTTCCAACCTGCAAAGGAGACCTTCAGTCTGAAGTTTGCAATCCAGAACAAGCTGTTGATTAGAAACACTTCTAACACATCTGGAAGCATTTTTTGGGACTATCCTAGACTGAACTTCCACTGTCACACTCCAGCAGCTCCCTCCCTCAATCAGCAATACAAAAATCCAGGCTTTGCAAAATTTATCAGTCATAACCCCAATATTAGACCTGTGGTTAACCTAAACTTGAAAGCTGAAGCTCCAGGTTCTCTGCTCTACTCTGGATTTGGTGGGGATATAAGACCTTAAAAGCACACAGTAAAAGCAGCAGGTGTGCATGTCCACAGGTACCTGATGCAAGGCTATAGTCACATGGGCTGATCCATCAATTGCAACCACTGGGCTCTATATTACTGTGTCCCTGAAAACTTGCTGGTCTCTCAAACTGAGATCACTGGTAGGTGTTAAACACAGTGAAATCAGTAAGATTCAGTAACACATAATCTAGGGTGGTTTGTTATTTTGGTTTGTGTTGTGTTTTTTTTTAATAAAACAACTTGAACACTGTAGGTAACACAAAATCTTGCAATATTCTTCAAAGAAGTTAATCTAGTGAAGAGGTACAAAAAAGTTAATTTTATTACATGTAGTTTTTTTATACAACACTTAAATGCAAAACCCCCACTTTCAGAACAGTGTTTCCCTCCCAAGGAAACCAATGTAATGAGCTGACCAAAGGGAATTTTCTCCATTAACCGTTACAAATATTGCTTGAACAGATTCCACAAAGTACACATTACAACTTATATTAAGGTATGCCCAAATATAGAGATGTACTTCCAATTAGATTTGCTAGTTACCTCTTTCTTCAAGGTCACTTGCATAGGCTTTGAGGATGTATTTATTTGTGCACAATTTTCTAAGCACCTGATACATTTGGTTAATTACACACAGCAAATGACAAATTCATTCGCAATCATGCAAATGCAGTAAGAGATCTAGCCCTGCCATTTGCTTCTCTATAATCCCAGAAAGTTAATGATTTCAATGACATAATTCAGTGGCTCAGGTCAGACTCTTCTCCAACCCCAAAAAGTAAATTGAAAATACCGACAGGTGGCGCTAGCGTTGAGATTTCCTAGGCTAGAAAGGCAAGTCTTTAACCCTGCTGGTATCCTCTGCAGGAAACTGCAGCGTTTCCTCCTCTCTCCAAGATCTTCAGCTGGTTCCACCATCCCGGTTCGGTAACTGCAAGTGAATACTTGACATTTTTAAAACAGTTCGCTCTTGAGCGCAGCAAATATTTCACTGTGTCCTTTCACATATTCTGGCACAAGAGACCAGCTAACACTCGCCTTTACCTGTACAGTTATGACATCCTGCTGGAACTGCAAAGAAATCCCTACAAACACCTGTAACTTACAACCTCATTTCAGTTCTTAAAGGCTCCACATTTACTGGCTTTAGCAATGAATTCCTTTAGCAGGCGACCGTCCATTTGCCAAAATGCTGCAGTTTGTGTCACTTCTGTCAAATGATTGACACAAAACTTAAAGCAGAATTCCTCTAAGTCCTAAACAAAACAAAAAAAAAAGGGAAAAAGGGGAGGAAAAAAAAAAAAGGAAAAATATCTTATTATTTTTGCTTCCATCCCAGAAAATTACATTCAGGCACAAATGCCTTTATATGCTTTATCTTTGCAGAGAATTAGACAAACACATTCACCCAGTGGTTCTCAGTGTTCTCCCCCATATAGTCACTATGCAAATGCAACAGAAAGCAGTAATCCTACTCCTATTATATGGTTACAAAGGGAGAAGTAGCTATAATTTGGTTCTCAGCATACAGCTGCAGCCACAAAAATCAGCTTTTCTGAGCAATATATATTTTTAAAGTTTTCCCACTTGGAATTTTCATCATCTGCATTCAGTGACAGCTACTAAAAACCAATACGAACAGAGATCTTGGGGTAATGATGTATCACCAAGACTGTGGATTTTAAAACTACAGCTCTTTTGTTCCATAATATAAACTCATATCTACACTTAGGGTTGCTTAACTTCCTGCTTAGTGAAGGGTGTCACTGAAGCCTAGAAGTCACATGCCAGCAGGCTCAGTGCCAGCATGTACCAACGGGACACTGACAGCACAGCTTAGGGAGAAGTCTTTTTTGTGCATTAGAAACAGACTCATGTTACAAAGTACTTCACAGATGTCCCAAAAACGATTCAGAGGCAGGACTGTGGCACCACACAGCACAGCAATTCTTGCAGAAAGCGGACTCTGGATATTTGAGTCTACTTTGAAGCACTTTCCAATTAAGGATTAGGAAAGCCTCACCAACCAACCATCATGTGAGTGAGAAAGGGTGTCTAAAAAACCAAGAGACAGTCGTTGTCAATACAAGGTTGATCACAGAACAATTCTCACTCAGATTATTTGTTTCCAACTCCTGAGAAGGAAATCTATTCTTTGTGGTGCAAATCTAAGCTGCAATAGGGAGGATGCTGCAGCCATCACAAACCAGCAGCTCCCCACCCTGTTCTAATTTCTGTATTAGAAGTTGGTAGAACCAGTACTTTATAGGTGAGAACACACCCTTCCTTAGCTACTCAGCAGACTGGGTGCTGGGTAAGGCACAATTATTGCAGAGTTCTTTAAGCTACATGAGGTGTGAAAGACTGATTAATATTCACGTTTTCAATTAAGGGCAATACTGAAAGCTAGAGCAACTGCTGCCAGGGAGAGTCCTTGACACAACAATAAATAAAACCCCAGACATTCTGAAGCTGCAGATCTTGACTTGTGTGGCATCTTTGTGGCAACAAAAAAAGACAGGCTTAATAGAACTGAACACAGGGTTTGTTTCTTTTTTTTTTTTTTCTTAAATAATAAAATGAATTGGCACTTTAAACAAAATTACATCATACACATTACAGTATTTTGCACTGCTTTATTAAAAAAAATCATATTCCAAGTCAATGCAACAGAAGCATACAATAAACAGAAATACTGTAGTATTAGTAAGTAACTTTGGAAAATTCAAAGTTCTGTATAAAAAAAGGCTGGATTTCATTTGCAGATGGATGCACTCCCAGCAAACTGTAGTTATTATAGACTTTAGTGAATAAAGGCACAAGGTACATCCAATAATTATTTTTAAAGCTACAGTTAGAAGCCTGACCTGACCTAACTCTAGCCACTTCAATTCAAGGCAATCATCACAATAAAGTATAAGGGAGTTTCATGTCATGAAGGTATTTTATACTAGCAAAGCAGCTTCTTTTAACTGTTGTCTTGCAGATACATAGTCCCCTGAAGGAACTATATCACTCAAGCCATTTCAAGCCCCCATCTACCATTGCTGCATGTGAAAGCCACTTTTTACTAAAACCCTGTCCCTGTGTGTAACCCACTCCCTCCTTGATGTAACACTTAAGCCCACTGTTGTCACTTCACTTCTAACTTCATTTAGCTAGTGAGGTACAGCCAAGGCACAGTAAACGGATTTCTTCTATCCTTTACAAGCATAATCAATCACATACTGAAGACCCATCTTGAAAAAAATCTTTTAAGGCTAAAATATAGAAAACTTCCTATTTTCCATTAACTCCCACCAAAGAGATCGTTATTCACAGTAGAGCTGAAGCCACAGTTCAGACACTAACACAGCCCTTTGAGCAAGATGTATCAAACAAGCAACACTACAAGGTTCTGTAATAAATTAGGGTAACTGCATGCCAACTGCTGGACATTAAGCACAAGAAAAAGCAATGAGCTGATTTACTGAGTACCAGAACTGTTTTATAAGCATAAGTAGCAAGTGAAAAATGAACCAACCACGAAGTTGTAAATGTGATGCACAGATACTATGCTGAACACAGCCAAAGCAAGCCCAGGAATACATCCTGATTAGTTCATGAAGCCGTATGTTAGTCATCTAGTAGTGAAGTCAGACAGCATGCAGGAGGGAAATTTTTCTACCCTTCCCCTCTTTTCACACACTGCTTTCTGTCTTCAAAGTTTACTAAGTTCATAAAGCAGTTACTATCCTGCCATCTCATTAGTCTACTGTGGAGACTGAGTGTACCTAAACAAAACAAACAAAAAAGCACCCCACCAACCAACAAAACCCAACTGCACTCACTCCCTAAACCTACCACCATCATCACACACACCATACAACCTCACAAGTAAGTAATTTGAAGTTTACAAGATTGCTTTTCATAATGTTATGGGTTCTACTTTACATTTAAACCCTTTCCTTGTTTCCGAGTTAGTGTGTTTTCATCCTCAGAAATATTTTGTTGTTCCCCACCCCCAAAATAGTAACTCATGAAGCTTGACACAGCTTCATAACATTTTACCATGAAATTAAGCAATACAAGCATTTACAGATACTGATTCTCAGCCTAGGACTTAAGTCCTATATGCTGCAGATATCTGTATAGCAGTTTGCCTTCCCAGTACTGGTTTATGGGGGGAAAAAATACATCTCTCAGCAAAAATACAGCTTTGGTAAGTCCAACATTCTCAAATTCTGAAACTGGCAAACAGCATTACATGATAGTGAGAGTTTATATGAAAAGATAACTGGCTGCTTTTCTCCATAGTTAGGTCAGAAAGCAACCACCTATTTAAGAGACTGAAGTTTAGAAGTTTACCTCTGCATCATATCTGACAGCAGCAGAGAGCAATGAAAATGCATTTTCCACAGTAATTCCTCTCTTGATAATGTGTTGACATAGTTTTTTCAGTCTGTTTTCACAGTACGAAGTAGCCAAATCCAAAAGCCCTGCAATTATAACAACACCATGTTAGCCAGTTGTAACCATCTCTGCTCTTTCAACAACAGCTCATGCTCCTGGGGTACAGGCTGCATGTCTACTCTGTATGCAATGTTCTCTATGCCTACAACATGCTTTCTGCAAGTAGGTCACTATTCAGAAAAATGTATTTCACCATTACACAGGAAGAAAGGCCTTTTATTACCTCATGCCACAATCCTATTAAACTTTGTAAATATGCAAGCTGTTCCCCTGATTTACATAGCTAACTGCTTTCGAGAGTGGAACTGTCACAAAACAGGCACCACAACACAAGCAAAGCCCTACCATTATTAAAACCTGTGCTTGAATTACAGCTTGCTCTTTGCTCTGCTGTTCAAGTTTCCCCTGTTAGATCTACTGAGATTCTTTCATATTATCCTAAACAATAACTGACTCAATTTAGTCAAATATCCAAGTATTTTAATGCAGATAAATAGTTTCTCTTCCAACCTTGAAAAAACTGCTCAGTTTATTTCTAAGCACGCATCACTTTTGCTGCAGTAAGTTTGCTACAACAGTATTTTAAAGACAGCTTAATTAATCACCAGTGAAATGCTTTGTAGGCTAGACTAGAATTGATTCTGCATCCCCTGTCTTAGTGGATGCTGCTTTGTAAGACAATTGGACTATAAGCAATACCTATTGCATCTTCAGGAGGAAGGTCAACACTGTCTGTGTACAAGTACTCAAGAAAGGCACGATACACAGGATAAGAAAACTGGTCTATTTCTATCACTTCCTTCATATCCTCATTCCAGTAGGACTGGAACATGGTTCTGAAGTGTTCACACCTAAGAGACAAAGACATCATCTGCAACACTATTATACAAACACAGGAATGTTACATTATGGTCCCCCTAAAACACGTATTTGGTACACTCTGCAATATTTACAGTATTTTACCATACCCCATCACAGCCAGTGGTCCACATTTTGGTTCCTAATAGTGTGACCATTGTTACCCTTGTGCATCAAGGTAAAACTTATTTGATCTATGCTACAGAAATGTCAGAGTATACACTGCAAATCAGCCCAACTTCACAGAATTTTTTATTCTGGAAACAACAAATAGGCTTAAGGAAAACTGAATATGGACCATTTTAAGACAGAGTTGAAGATGGACCACTTCAAGGAGAGCTTTGATGCAACTCTTTTTATAATCACTTCATTTAAAGTGATTATGAATACACAGATGCTGTAACTTTCAGGTTTAGGGGTCTCTTTCTACCCCTTACATTACTCTCCTCCCCCCTTAGATGCAATAGTAAGAGTTTATTCTATATAAACAAAGAGCTGTGAAACGTGACCACTACCTGATTTTCAAAACAGCTTTGTGGACATGGATGTATTTTCCATCCACACGAAATTTCAGGTCCGAGGTTTCTGGGCTGTCAAACTCTTTCTTCAGAGATTCTGCTACAGTTAAAAAGTCCTCATGCTCTACAGAAACAAGTGTAAAACAAACAAACCAAACATGTTAAGCATTTTAAACATAACACACACATCACTAACTACAGATAGCAGCTCAACAAGAGCATGTCAAGGAAAACAGGTCAGTTATCAGGGCTGCATTGGCTTAAGTGGTGAAATAGGAAGAATGAATGAATCCAATACCAATTCCTGTTGGCAAAGACTGCTCCACAGCAACTACTGGTAACAGTGCTCAGAAGTTCCTGTTCCAGTTCATCACACAGAGGTAGCATAGCACCGAGTAAAGTACCTGGAGAACTTCCTTTCTCATTCTCCACCTGGCAACCACCCATGAAATTGCCAGCCTCCTGGCAGCCCAGCGTTTGTGCTGGGTCAGCTTAGCTCTGCAACCTGCAAACTGTCGGTAAGGGGAGACACAGTGTACAGTACTTCAACCACACTGACATGGTGTGATCTGAGCATCAAGTGTAAGACAACATGTCATCACTTGACTACTTTTTTATGCTGGCAGTTTGGATATATCTTGCAGGTTGTCTGTTAAGGTCTTTGCCAGGGCTCACTAACACGAACTATCACAGACACCAATATACTCAGCTTATTAGCCAGTTATGACAACAGAAAATCCAAAAGCAGTGCTGCTGAAGAAGAGAGACAGTAGATACTGTGTTCTTGGTACAACCAAGCTGAGATATCATAGCTCTTTGACAGTTCTTTATATTAAGGCCTATAGCACTGGTCCCACAGAGGTCCCATTCTCTAATCATACAAGAGTTGAACCACAATTAAGTAAGGCTTGTGGTAAAGGAAGAACTCTAAAGTCTTAGAAAACCTAATTTAACCCACTGTTTGAAGTTCTGTTGATGCATCTTGTAAGTGTGTTTCAAAACACATGGGTTCTAAGTGGTGAAGCATGGAAAAGAAAAATAACAGGATTTAAACTATAATGGGATATGGCCTGTCTCCTGTGTCACACAGGACTAGGTATTGTTCATCTACAATGCACAGATTACTCTTCAATATTAGGGACAGCTAAATTAGTTGGTATTTAAAAAGAAATACTGCTATAACAAACTGCTGTAACAGACAAGTCATGCTTGTGCCACAAAATACTCACTTATGTGGATCACCCATGGAATCTGCATCTCATCAGCGTTAACTAAACCATGCTCCAATCCCTCTCCATTTACTCATGTGATTTTTTTCTAGGTCATCAGCTTAGCTTAAGCTATGCAGTAGATCAACTTTCACTCCAAATACCTTAAGTTCATTCCTCAATAAAGGCTGCAGATTTGCACTTCACCACAGCCAATCCTGAGAGACTGATTCATTTTTTTGGCAGAGCCATCATAACTGGAAGTAGAACAATAACCTTTATGCAGAGTTAGCTCTTGCTAATGAAAACAAAACAAAACACAACATAAAAAGGGAAAAGGTTTTTTTCCCCCGAAACCTACATGAATAAAAAAAGGTGGAGAAGGAAAAAAAATGCATATGGAAACTGAAGATTTAAAATACCCCCAAAATTCATGCTTTTGATACAAATATTCAGCAAGTAGAATTATTAGAGTAAGAGGGGAAGAACCCCCAAAGGCTAATAGGAAGTAAAATACAGGAACAAAATTAAAATACCTTGTTATACTCAGTCTGGGAATACTTAATAAGAATGAGGAACTTGAAAGGTACTGAAGCTGGAGAGATGTCATTTAAACAGCCTTCACCATTAGCAAAAGTCAAAAGACCTGGACAACCACCAGACTTCTACAGAGGGCAAGATTAACACATCCCAGAGGATTAGAGAATGGAGAAAGTCAGAAGTGGGATAAAACAAGACTTGGATTTACCCAAAAGCAGATCACTCCAAGCTAATCTTCTCTCTCTGTAGTACAACTATTCAGTTTTCCTCTATAGACGAGATGCTGTTATCTGGACCTCTATAAATGGGATAAGATGCTAAATGAGAAGTTAAGATGGAGAAGCTGTGTTAGGACAAGCCACATGCAAAGATAGCTTCTGAGTCTGAAAAAAGGTTTCTCAGGATGTGATCCCTCCAAAAAGCAATTTTGTGCAGGGACTAACAAAATTAGGATCTGTTCTCAATATAAAAAAGGATTAGCTATCCTGAACAATCTTCAGAACTGAAGCAGCAGATCTAAGATGAAAACACCTTCATGTCTTCAAGGAAGTGCAAGCTAAGCACTTAAAAGCATATTTGGGGTCAAATAAGAATGAGCAGCATGTGAATCAAAGATAATCGAGAAGAAAGGCTTGGGCTTATCTGTTGGTTACAAAGACTGCATGCCAAAGTGTAATCCAAGGCAGTATAAGAAGAGAATTCAAACAGAGAAAACAATTATATTAGGGTCTTGTAATACAGGGACTACTATTTACAAGTCTGCAGGTCTTCGGGGAAACATTGAACTAAATCAAGCTGAGAGAAATCATCTCACAAAATGAAAAGTTGGAATTCTGTTACTTTACTTTCCTAACATGAAACATAGGACAGAGCTTCAATCCTTCATATTTATACTGGAACGGTAAGCACTAATGAGGGAAAGCTGGACCACACGTATAAATCAAAGGTGTTAAATACCAAAGTAACAAGTGTCAGCAGCAGTCTTCCAAGTAGCAATATACAAACTATACAAAGGTAGGAAATATGCAATATTCACAGTGCAATGGTAAAACAGTATTTTCCTCCAGATGCATGTTGGCAAATTATCTTGTTAAGCCCACTCTGGATCCTTAGCTGCTAACACAGACTGCTTTTTTCAGAAGAAAAAACCTGGCTAGAAGAGCTCATTTTAATGGCTGGCTCTCCTTGAGGCAGGAACCACCCCACCATGGAAGGGGTACCCTGTACTACTTGCTAGAAACGTACACAGAGAGCACAGCACTGGCTGCCAGACTGGAGCTTGTTCTCACCTACTGACAGAAGACGCCACATGACAGCAGGGGTAGCAAAGCAAGCAAACACATCATCAGTGCAGGCAAAGTGAGTGAGGTGGGGAAGGATCACTGACTGCCCACGGCACTGGCCCCACATGTACACCTGGCCACTCTGGGTCTTGGCAGCTGAGGTGTGAGCAGAGTGGCAGGCTGCAATCTCCACAACCCTGCAAACAGAAGAAACCTTGTAAGAATCAAGTGACTTTCCAAATGCCTCACCAAAATAACAGCCAACCAAACTGCATCTATATTCCTGTACTTCTTTCTTTGTCCTGCATGAATGCTTAAGATGGATCAATATTTTAAAAACTGCAGTGACATTTTCAGATTGCTTGTAGATTTTACTGTAATCAGATATTGCCTTAATTATGTGATTCTCATCAGCTGACATTCCTTTTTCTTCCATAACTATGAGAAAGGAATGAAGCAAAACAAAGCTTGGTTTTTATCTCCTTTAAAATCAATTCATATCAGACACTTATTCTCAAGAAGAAATGCTTATGGAGCTTACAAAACTTCCAGTTAGGCAGAAATGTTATACTACTAAGATTTTTGCAGAACAGTTTTCAGAACATCTTTCTAAGAGATTCTAAAAATTCTCCCATTTTGCGATAAAGGTCCTATGTATTTTTCAATGAATCTTTATTAAGAAACTGTTCTACCCTGCCTTTAATCTGTTTTGTGTATGTAGACAGAGATGTGACCTACTGCCAGTATTTCTGACTTCTTAACTTGCTGTTAGTTTCCTTTCCTCAACACTGACATTCAGCAAGGAACATCAATAGCACTTCACTGGAGGAGAGGTGAACAAACAGACTTAACTTGAAGAGCTATGGGTGTTTTTCAAACAAAAGTCTACGGAGTATTTCCACTCACTTCACACAGATCTTTAAAATACCAGAGCTCCTGATGCACACTTCTCTATTCTGTTCTCCCATTGCTCAGAGTTCCTATCCTGCTATCTGAACATTGCAAGAACTGAGAAGAATCACACTTCCATTAAAAAGGATCATAAGGGCATTTTCCATGTTTCTATTCACACAATAAGGAATAACTAGAGGAAGTTCCAGCGTCAGATCAAAATAAAAACTACGCTTTCCTGTTTTTTCTCCATGCTAAAAATGCATCAAAGGATTTCATGCTTTTGTGCCAGAAACAGACCAATTGGAACAAAAAAATGTTTTTCCAAGCAGTCTAAGAATATGCATACAAAAATGTTTATTCCTTTACAAAATAATATCCATGAAGAGTTAGCATTTTTAGCAAAAAAACCCCACATTGTTAAGTGCTAAAATTATTTCAAGATTAAACATAGAAAGCATCTACAATCGCTTTCAGCATGTGCAATGATTTCTGGTAGGTAAATGACTAATGGGTTGTTTCACACCATTATCAGCTTACAAACCTGTATGCTAAATTGAGATCTTTCAGCTTCTCTACATGAGACATCATTAAGTAATTATTTTACAGACAACTTCTTGTCCATCATGGCTATCTGCCTAAACTGCTTTCTTTTCCCACCCTTTCTTTACCTAACAGAACAAATTAATTTTAGAGTAACTACAGTGTAATTAAGAAGCATGGCAGAACATGTACTGTAACACGTGTACAGTATCCAAACACTATACTTACAGTACACATACAGGATAACATGTTAAGCACATATATAATATACACATACCAAAAATCAGGAAGCTGACCTTCATGACTGTTCCTCCAAGCTAACACAAAATAAAGACTAAAATTTCCTTAGAGGCTATCTGTACAACATTCTTCAAGACAAAATCAAATGCCGCCTCCTAAGGAACTGTCACCAGCATTACATATAAATGACAAAAGAGTTATATAAAATCCAGGAGAAGCAGTGTGCTTCATGGGAAATGACAGCTCATCCACTTACAGCACTGTTTCCATGGGAGCCAAGTCAAGCAAGACAAGTAAATTCAAGTGACTTGTCTCTCCTTTAGATTCCAAGCAGAAGTTCTATGATACTTTGACCCTCCTTCAGTCATTGAAAAAATGCCATTTTTATTACAATCCCATGCTTGAATTCAAATACAGCTCTAAATGCAAGAGATACCCTTAGTTCACTCGAGAAATAAATTACTAAGAAAAAAAGTTGATCTGTTTACAAATATATGCATTTCTCTTACAGTGCTTTTTTAATGAGTGTGTATTTAATTCTGCTTCACTAGTGTCAGCTCCTTCACAAACAAGCCAGGCTCGCCAATGTTGATCTTTACAAATATATGCATTTCTCTTACAGTGCTTTTTTAATGAGTGTGTATTTAATTCTGCTTCACTAGTGTCAGCTCCTTCACAAACAAGCCAGGCTCGCCTCAGTGATTTTTGTTGTAATGGTTCCTTCCTTCTTTCCCCCAAACCATTTTTTAAGACCTATATTCTCAATACTGTGCAGCTTTTAATTTCACATCAAGTGTAGAGAAACGAGAAAAAAATAGGGATGACTTCCCAGAAAGACAGTTCAGAAATGGAGCAGAAAAAACAACCACAAGTTTTTCCTAGTTAAGAGGATATTACAAGGTAAGAGATTTACAGGTTAAGGGATTTACAGACTAAGAGGTTTCTGAACTAAGGTACATTAATCTATAGGTACACACAGAGGCTGAAAGAATGGGACTGAGGTCCAAGTTTGCAGGTGAACAGCAGAAAAGCCATCCCAAATATGAGGATGACACAGGTGATGAGTGAGGGTGGACAAGGGTTGTACTTATTTTATGACTTTAGGAAACTAAGAAACCACAAACCAACAACTGATACCACTGAAAAAAGTGGTATCATCTGCCCTTAGCTCTAGCAAACTTGCAATCAGAGTTCTGTTTTCATAATTGGCTATTGGCAGCCTTTCAGAAAATTGTTTTCCTCATGTCACGCTCAGTACAGCTTAAAAGCTTGGCTTATCAGTTTCATAGATCCAAATTTTTAACCAAAGGAACCATATTTAGAATAGCCTAACACCTAGCCATTACTTACCTTTCAATATCAAATAAATACAAAGTATTTTTACTTTCAATAATCATTACAGATGGCAAAAAGCACTCAGTCCACAGTAAAGAGTAGGCTACTCTCCTTCCCTATACTTCTAACATGAGCAATAGAAAAACAATCCACCAAGCCTTACACATGCGTGCTTCCAGGGCTAGGGACAGCATAACACATGCTCAGATTTATCAATCCAGAAACAGCTTCAGCAAGATTACCTTTCTTTTTCCATCATGATCTGCACCGGGCTTAGCTGGTTACTTTTATTGCCAGTTCCCAGCTGCCCGTAAGTGTTAGCTCCCCAGGCATAGAGCAAACCCTCATCTGTTAGTGCTAGTGTGTGCGCATAGCCACAGGCAATCTGTAAGTAAATGTATAAGCATTACTACTGAACAGAGACAGAAACACAATTATCACACGTATTACCTTAGTCTAGCTGATGTTAAATATCTCAGGCATTCTTCATTTAGCAGTACAATGTGCTACTTCTCAGTACTTAAAGCTAACACAAATGTTAACTGTAGGTACTGAGAATGTCCCAACTTCATTCATCTAGCATTTGTTGGTTACTCCTAAACAACTAGCTGCACTCTTGCAAGGTCTCCCTAGCTTTTACTTGCTTTCAGCTGCAGACTCTTCAGAAAAAAACCCAATGAACTTCATAATCACATCCCGCAATTCTGAAATACCTTCAGATTGTGGTATTTTGAATACCATACAAACTATGAGAGCTGCAGTTCAATAGCTAACAACTGTTCAACCCACGTTACCACATGAAACTTCACAGCACCTTACTGAAAACCCACTAAGTTAGATTTTTACTTTTATTCCTTAGCTGAAAAAAAGATTTAAAAAACAAAACCAAGCCCCAACCACTAAACAATCAGCCCTCCACCCATGACTTGACTTCCCTTCCCTCTCCCCTCACTTTTGAAGAGCTAATTATAATATTAATGTAGAATCTAACTTAACACCTTGTTTACCTTCATTTCTTGTCTTTGCCTATTGCATTTCATTCATTCAGCAACTTGTATCCACAGCATAATTTACTAGTAGTTACACTAGGTAATTTTAAATAATTCAAAACAGTTACAAAAGCAAGTATTTTACAGTTTACTTGCATTTTCTAAGACTAATATAATTTATAGAAGCTAAGAAAATTCAGTATTTGAACTGTGAAAGCCAGAAGCAGGTATAAGATTCCAAAGACAGTTCTAGCAGATGCTAGAAACATGAAAGCAGACATACCTGGAGTATACACACACCATGTAAGGCTGCCACTCTGCAGGGTGTTAGTTGATTGCCGTTGTTCCCAAGACCTAGCTGTCCATTGCCATTGTAACCCCAGCCATAAACCTGATTGCAAAAGGAAAACAAAGTTAAGCCACTCCTCTGTAGAAGTACAAAACATTTAAGACTTAGGATCAATTATAAGTCAGAAAAATACTTATTATTAAAAAACTGTACAGTATTTTAAAAGCAATATAGAAAAGGCTGAATATATACTGCAATGACTTGACTGTATTCAATTTTTCAATCCTACATTTACCTTTTAAAGAAGCTTTCTAAAATAGATTTGTCTTTCAAATACTAGGAATTTTGCAATAAACCTCCTATAAATCAAAACCTCTTTCACAGTGTCAAAATTTTAGTTGGCTTTTATACCTTCCTTCCTTATTGCTTTTTTTCCCTATTTTTGAAGACAACAAGAAATAAGTTATTCTGATCAGCTGATTAGCTATTGGATTAGTTTGAACTGAAGTCTCCAGTTTCACTCTACTTTTTCCTTTAGTTTTTCTATGGTAGATACATTAAGACAAAAGTATGTACAATCTCAGTCTCAGGGATTTCCATAGTTCCTCCAGTCTCGAAGAAATGCTATGCTCCAGGCTTGGTGAAATGTAGTAAAACTGAGGCTACAGTTTATGCCTAGAAGCAAGATAGCATCATAAACTTTCGTGAAATGGAAGAGTTGCACAACACTAGGGCAATTTTCAAAAGCTTGATTTAATTTTGTTGCTGGCAATTAAGCAATGCGTTTAAGAACCAGGATTAGTCAGTGTATTCTTGCAGTACGATTAACTATTTAATTGTGTATGCTTTCAAAAAATATAATTGAGATATATGTTAAACAATCTATTGAAGTAAAGACACATGTTTATACAAATGTTCAAATTATTGCCATTTCAGACTTCTTTGCCACAAGAAGGAATGTTTGATGTAAAGACAGCATCTCCAGCTAACTGCAGTTTTCCTTAAAGCAGCCTCACTGAAGTTATCAATATAATTCTACATTATTACATCAATACAACTCTGTAACTTGAGCAATCCATGTCAATGTTTCTTCATGTTCAGACATTTAACTTTGTAAGTTTGAGTAACAGAGAACACAAGAATGCAGCAATGCTTACCTCACCATTGTTTATTACAGCCATGGAGGAGGTCTGACCACAAGCAATGCCAACCACCATTTTACCCTGTAAACAGTTTGAAACTCTGCGAGGAGTTGGTTGGTTTGCTGTAGATCCAGATCCAACCTGACCACAGTTATTGTAGCCCCAAGCGTAGAGCTGTCCATAAAAACAAACACACACCTGCAGTTTAAGCCTTAATAACAGTAATGACAGTAATAAATTATAATCTTACTGCAGTCAGCATCAGATTGGGAAAATGATCCTATTTAATGAGTTATAATACTTAAAATTAATTTTCAACAGCTGGAAATTATAAACAGTACTAGGATTGATCTAGCAAATATAAAGAGTGCACATTTTTTGGCTTCTTGCTACAGAACCAGGACATCTGGCTACAGGAGGAAACACAAGCAACATTTCCATATTAAATATAAGATGTAGAGAATAGTGAGTGGATTGTCTCTGCATTTTCCTGATGCAAGCCAGAATATAATTTATTTTGCAGACAAGCTGAAGTCCCCAATTTCCAGCTATTCAGTTTTACTCACAGAACTCTAGAATAACCAGGTTATTGCTGGACACTCATCATACCACTTCTATATTTTTCAAGAGCTGTGAAAGCAGATGTTTTGTTAGCCTGTGTTTCGCAGCAGCAAAACTCAAACAATGACATCACCATAAAGCATCACCTCTGACAGGTGGTTTGTTTCTTCTAGAAGTCCAGAAGACATGAAGCTTATATGTCATTAAATATATTTATAGTTTTGTATTTTCAGTTCCTTCAGTTTTTATTATGTGCACACAGTATAGCTTGGCATAAACTACTTCTGATAGTTCATTCTTTGTGAAAAAGTTTGTCCTTTCGGAAATACTGAACCACAGAGGTGCCAGCCAGTAAAAGCACACTGAGAGAGAACCTAATGAGAAGTCTGCAGATCCCTTGGTGCCAGAAGCCACCTGTTTCCTCTGACACCAAACCAAAAATAAATCTCGAGAAACAAACACCTTTCCCACCAACAAAAAAAAACCACCCAAAACCAACAAAAAGCCCCCCACACCAACAAAAAAAACCCAACAAACAAAACCACTGAAGACAAGAACAAAGAAATCTTCCACCAACACAACCCATTTACCATGTCTAATACGAAAAAAAGAAAGCATTAGTCCTTTGCTTTTTGTTAGTTGTATTTTCTGGATCTTTGATTCCCACTGAGTATTTGATGAAGATCTATAAAATTTCTTCATTTCAATAAAATTGAAAAAACAAAGAGCATCTCAGAAAGTAGATCAAAATGCTAAAGAGCTAATAATTTTTCTCTCACAGAAGCATGCATGTCTGTAAGTCCTTTAAGTCTACCATTAAGATATTTTTTTTTTAATTTGCACTGTATTAAAATTGCACTGAACCAACTGTACATATCAATTATGCCAAGTATTTCTACAAATACTTCCAACTTTGATCAGTTTCTGAAACTCCAGCTATTTACAACCAAATATTTCTGTAAAAGAAACTCCATTTATTACATTTCATAGAATCATAGAACTATTCAAGTTGGAAAAGACCCTTGGGATCACCAAGTCCAGCCATCATCCCTGCTCTACAAAGTTCTCCCCTAAACCATATCCACCAACACCACATCCAAACGACCCTTAAACACATCCAGGGACAGTGGCTCAACCACCTCCCTGGACAGCCTACTCCAGTGGCTAACCACTCCTTCTGTGAAAAAAATGTTCCTAATGTCCAGTCTAAACCTGCCCTGGTGCAGCTTGAAGCCATTCCTTCTTGTTCTGTCACTAATTACCTGTGGACAGAGACCAGCACCAACCTCTACAATGACCTTTCAGGTAGTTGTATAGACTGATGACGTCTCCCCTCAGCCTCCTCTTTCTCAAACTAAACATTCCCAGCTCCTTCAAGCGTTCTTCAGAAGACTTACTCTCTAGGCCCTGCACCAGCTTTATTGCCCTCCTCTGTACTCGCTCCAGCACCTCCATATCTCTCTTGAATTGAGGTGCCCAAAACTGGACACAATACTCCAGGAGTGGCCTCACCAGTGCTGAGGACAGGAGGACAATCACCTCTCTACTTCTGCTGGTCACATTGTTTCTAATACAAGCCAGGATGCCATTTGCTTTCTTGGCCACCTGGGCACACTGCTGGCTCATATTCAGCCGCTTGTCAGTTAGAACCCCTAGGTCCTTTTCTGCCAGACACTTTCCAGCCATACTTCCTCAAGCCTGGAGCACTGCCTGGGGTTGTTGTGGCCCAAGTGCAGGACCCAGCACTTGGCCTTGTTGAAGCTCAGACCATTAACATTAGCCCAAAGATCGAATCCATCCAAGTCTCTCTGTAGAGCTTCCCTATCCTCATGCAGATCAACACTCTTGCCTAGCTTGGTGTCATTTACAAACTTACTGATAATACACTCAATGTCCTTATCAAGATCATCAATAAAGATATTAAACAGAAACAGTCCCAACAATGAGCCTTGAGGAACACCTCTTGTGACTGGTCACAGGCTGGATTTAACTCCATTGACCACCAACCAATCTTTGGGTCCATCCATCCAGCCAGTGCTTGATCCAACAGATCGTATGATCATCCAGGCTATAAGCAGCCAGGTTTTTAATGAGAGTTCTATGGGGAACTGTGTCAAATGCTTTTTGGAGGTCCAGATCGGCAATATCCACAGCCTTTCCCTTGTCCAATAGTCAGGTCATCAGGTTAAAAAAGCAGATCAGGTTTGTCAGGCAGGACCTGCCTTTCATAAACCCATGCTGACTGGGCCTGATCCCCTTGTTGCCCTCAATATGTCTTCTAATGACACTCAAGATGATCTGTTCCATGACATTCCCTGGTACCAAGGTCAGACTGACAGGTCTATACTTTCCTGGATCCTCCTTTCTACGTTTCTTATAGATGGGTGTTAGATTTGCTACCTCCCAGTCCATTGGGACCTCCCCAGTTAGCCAGGACTTCAGGTAAATAATGGAAAGTGGCTTGGTGATAGCTAGGACTTCAGGTAAATAATGGAAAGTGGCTTGGTTACCACATCTGCCAACTCTTTCAGCACCCTAGGATGGAACCCATCCGGTCCCATAGACTTGTATGCATCTAAGTGGTGTAGCAGGTCTCTCACCACTTCCTCTTTCATTGTGATGACCTCATTCTGCATCTCCTCCCTGTCTCCTAGCTCATGTGGCTGTGTATCCATGGAACAGCTAGTTCCACTGCTAAAGACTGAGACAAAGTAGGTGTTGAGCACCTCAGCCTTTTCCTCATCCTTTGTTACTAAGATTCCCTTTGCATCCAATAAAGGATGGAGATTTTCCCTAATCCTCCTTTTGCTGTTAATGAACTTATAGAAACATTTTTTATTATCCCTAACAGCTGTAGCTAGTTTGAGCTCTAGCTTTCACTGCTTTCAGTATAATCTATTATGGTACAGATAAAATTCCAGAGCACAAACAGACTAAGCTACTTCACGGGTACGTTAGGGATGGATTTCTAGCACATTAACTACCCACAATGGTACACGAGCTGCAAATATCAACTCTATGGTAAATACAAAGCAATTTCCTCTCCTCCATTGAGATTTCAAGTATGTTACATTTATTACAAGAGACAGCAGGCCCATCACAAGCAGCTACTACACATCAGCTGGCACCACTAGTTTAACTAATGCATGAACATCTTTGCCTTCCAGCATGCACACCAAACTGTATCATTTAACCAAGTCCACCATGACAACATGAAGCTGTATTTTAAGCACAGCCATTCCTTTCAGAGATGCAACAAAGACCACTTAATTTAACACTACCCTCAAAATAACAATTTGCTACTCTGTATTACTATTGCATTGTCCCTCCATCCAGAACCATAACACAGACCTGCTCAGATTACCAGGATGGGAAACGTTGTAGTTTCCATTTTCACTGTTAGGAAGGTTTTAAAATAACTCTTCTTTTGTTAATGCAGAGCTGAAACCAGGCTGTCATGCAGTAACATGCAAGTCAAATCAGATATACACACACATAGGTCAAATCTGACTAACTGGAAACTAATTGTATGCATTTCCTATGACACATGGCCTTAAGGCACATAAGCAAATAGTATAAAGCAGCTCAGGATATAAACTAAGTGCTTCTCATTAGCTACACACAAAGGTATTCAGAGGTGTGCAGAGCAACATTCTTTTACAGTACCAGTGTGAAAACCACCTAGACCACAAGAAACACACTAACTAGTAAATACAAACAACTCAATATACCCCTTAATTAACAGAATTACAAACAAATAACAATTTTACATTTTGCAATTTACAAATGATTCTTTCACCTCTTAAGTGGCACACCTTTCTGGTCTCTTCCCTGGGGAGTATATAACAAATGAAAGAGACTTTAATTTCCTTGTTTTTTGGGGGTTGAGTTGGGATTTCTGTGTTGGAGTTTGTGAGTAGGGCTTGGGTTTTTTTTTTCTGAGTTGTTTTGAAGTCTGCTCAGAAGAAAACATACCCTAGTTTGAGGCTGCAGGAGAAAAGGTTATGATGTAACTACACTGTAGAGCAGGAGAGAAACTCAGACTGCAAGGTCACCTGCACTATTCCCTTCAAGAAGGAGATTAAGAGATTTGAACAGGTTTCAACTTACATCCCCGTCAAACGACAGCGCCATGGAATGATGAGAGCCACAAGCCACTTCCACCACTTTCTTTATTAACAGATTTGTGCAAACTTGAATAGGAGTAATGCCCTGATTGGTTGTGCCATTCCCAAGCTGGCTGTAACCATTATGTCCCCAAGCATAGACTTCACCATCTGCAAAAAAAATTGGTCATAATAGCCACCAAAAATTCCACAGAAGATAGAATTCTAAGAAATTAAAAATGCCACCATGAAAGAGAAAGGACATTAACAAATAGTGAAATTATTACAAGAATCATCTCTATATTTAAAAAAAAATACACACTTTGTGTACAACTATTTTATATACATATATCACAGTATAATTATGGAAATACATGAATGTGCATAGGTTAAGACTGAGCATAAATGACAGTAAAACTCTACAGTTGCAACAGAACTGAAATGTAACAGAAACTTACTTTATCTATTACAGAATACAAGAACCCCTAAGCTTACATTACCCAGTTAACAAGTTAATACAATTATACTTTAATCCATTCTTGTTAAATGCAATTGGAACTCACAATATGTAACTTATGTTTCTATACTACATGTTAATTTTCTACCTTCAGTGCAAATTACAACATGGGGTCCACTTCCATAACTGAGACTGGAAACCTTCTTTCCACATAAGGCTTCTAATTTCTTTGGCACTATTGTACTCTGATTATCTCCAGTTCCCAAACAATTACTGCAATTCAGTCCAAAAACAAATACCTGAAAAACAGAGGAATACATTTTTAATTATTTATACTCAGGTATGCACAGATGTGGTAATATCTGGGTCTTCATAAAGCCAGTCAGAATCTTGCCACGGACTCTTGAGGACTGGAGACTTCCCTCATGGAAATTAATAAGCTCAAGAGTCAGGATGGAAACACTTTGGAATTAACTGATGAGTATGAATACTTCGGATCCATGCAGGCCTGAAAGCTAGGCTTCTCATTTGCAGGAACTGTACTATGAAAAGTATTAAACTGTGAAATTGGAAGACACTTTCTTTTAAAAGGAGTTGGTAAATATCAGCCACAACTGGGAGGCTCATCCTACTGGCACCTTTAATAGGACTTAGGGAGGGAATCCTACTCTACCCAGTCTCACAAGAAACCTTCCCCCTAATATATCCCAGAACAACTGGTTTGCTTTCTTTCAGCAGCACAATGCTAGCTCACATTGAGTTTCTAAATCATTAAAATCCACAAATGATCTGCTCTATTGTTACTTAGCAAGCCATAACTTCATTCTATATCTTCACAGTTGGAGGGCTTACACTTAATTTCAAACTACCACGTCTTTTGAATTCTGTCTTCAGAAGTGCATGTACTCCATCCCAAATTTCTTCATTTGTAAATTTTTTTAATACTCCATCTATATTGTTCCTATGCAAGACTAAATGAATAATTTTAAGTTACATCCAGCATGTTTTGAAATATATAAGCTTCACACAACGCATTTGAGAAACTATTAATTTGCAGGTATTTAATGGACTCTGGAAACAATTAACGGTAGAGTATGTGTTCCAATTTATAACAGCCTTACCTCATCGTTGTGTGTTATGTATATAGCTTCATTGGCTGATGTACCAAATACACATGCTTTCCGAATAGATGCTATTTCTTGAGGTGAGAGTAAAGTAAATATTGGCCACTTTCCTACATCCACCATGATGTTGCTGTGTGTCATGATGTTTTGATTAGTAAGATGACATTGCTGTAACAAAAATAAAAGATTATTAAAAAGTGTATTTGGCACTTCCATCAAAAGGCAAAAAATAATTTCCTTTAAAGGAAAGACATGTGTGACGTTGCTGAAAGTGTAACATTATATTCTATATGAAATATGTAATTGTATTTCCACATAGTAAGGTGAACAAATAGCAAGTCACTGGTAGGACACAGGAAGAACAGAACTTTTATTAACAAGGTATTTATGTAAACTGCATTCAGTCCATCTGAACATCTGCTATTCTATAAGCAAGTTTGTTAAAAGGTTATGATCTAGGAAACAGTCACTGGCTATTCAAGACAAGCAGCCAAACCTAAAATACAGGCTGCTTAGTGCAGATGTTTTTTAGAAGGATGGGGTTTATTACTATTATTTTTTTAAGCTTGAGAAATGCTGAGGTTACAGTGGAAATACATCTAGAAGAAAAATCCCACTCAAACAAAAAAAGACTTCTTCCCATATCAATTTTGTAACCTTGCTCCAACAAACCCAGCTCTGCTCTACAGGCACCTCTCTCACTAAGAGCCTGACATCACTCTACATTTCCCCTTTGAAGCAGGTCTTGGCAACACCTGAAGTTTCCAGATGTCACATTTGTAATAAATGTATCTGTAGAACAGCTTTTGAAAGTCTAACCATTGCCCGTACCACAGTACACTCTACACAGCTAAACAGATTTTAAAGTATTTAAGCCTTCTTAATTTCTAGTCCAGTTATAAACTCAGGCTAGTTAGCTGCTAAGATTTGCTACCTCACTTTAGAAAATCTTTTAACATATGACACTATCCATCAAGTAAAAGGAGACAGTGATGACTTGTTCTTTTGAGAAGACTAACTAATTCTTCCTTCTGACTTTGCCTATTTAATTTTCCCCACATAATATACAATGGTGGGACCAAAACATGTAATAAACTGCATATTCAGAAAAGTATTTTCTTCACTGAAGTTCTTTCCTCAACACATCCTGTCAATTCAAGACACATGGATAAAAATTATTTTGATGGAAAATGTCCTAGTAAATGAACAAGTTTTACGGAACCCTGAAAACCTATTCCACTCTAAAAGTAACCAGTTTAAGATATGCTACTTATCTGTCCTTTTCTGATCTTTTCTAGTCCTCAGTCCTCCTGGCTTTTTTTCCACTACCACTTGACTTAATTAACCACTCGTCTTTGACAAAACCTATGAAAGTTACACTGTTTCACATACCTCAAAGCTCAAATACCTCAATTGCGTATCTTGTCAGACAAACTAATACAAGTAGACAAAAGAAAAGTTTTCAAGCTCACAACACTCCCAACTGAAGACATGAGCAATGAACTTCATTCCACAGATTAAGAACCTACACTTTTTGACAGGTGTAATGCTGCTTTGTCTAAAGCAATGCTGCGTTTTCAGTTTCAACTGTTCCTACAATCTTACAAAATTATTTCAAGGGTTTTCCCTAAAAGGTTTTTAATGACAACTCATCTGAATCCTAAAGTTTCTCCAGGTTTAGAAAACAATAAAGGTTCACAAAAATACTTAAAACCAAAACCAACCAAACTTAAAACATCTCTTGCCTTTTACATAACATGTACTGTTTCTCAGCAAACACAACCTCTTTCTCTCCTCTGGAAGTACTAACTATTGTCCTTAAATGCTGCCATTTGCTGGAGTATCCATCATCACTCAACCACAACATTTTTACTGTAGCAACAGCAGCTATTCTTGTTTATGTTTATATGTAAATGTGTGAAGTAACACACAAACCTTAAAGTTCTGGAGCTTATACACAGACTACTATTTCTTAGCACTAACTGTGCATAGAAAGCTGTGGTACTTATTCCCCATTGTGCACAGAAAATAAATGCAACATCGCGATTGACCTCTTACATCAATCTCACTCAAACTTCATCTTTGCACAACATTTGTCTGAACGGAAGGTGTGTACAGAGTTTCTTCTGGACAATCCCTGCTATGAAAGGCTGATCTAGGAGACTTCACTCATGCCACTGCAAGCAGTGGCACAAAAAACACAGTGTCTTTCACTCACCCTTCCCGTACTGCATCAATAAGAAAGCTAAGATTATTGTTTACTTCTCCTGATAATCATGTAGATCGTGGACCCCATTACATTACCAACAACTAAATCTTAACTGAAAGTTTGTAAGTGCAATGTAGTAGCAAATGTACCAGACTGAGTCAAAAGTAATGAAGCCATTTAAATCTCTTTGCAAATAGCTGCCTCAATATATCAGCTCTCAAGCTATTGTTTAGATTCTGTATGCAGCATGGCAGCAGCAGTTCTAATATCTGTTATGTATCAACATCTAGATTTTTATTTAATTGCAATTAAAAGCCTTAAGAGTACAAAAGTCATAAGTTTAAACCTGGTGCTCTAATAGATAGCTGCTTTTAGCGAGACTTTGCGTCACTGCATTTAACTGCCTTTTAATTTCTGCTGCACAATCAGTGATAAACAACTCTACACCCGACCTTTATTCCTACCGCAGAACTAACCGGCAGAGGGAGCCTGTATCAACAATACCTCTTCTAACTGCTTTGACATCTTTGAAGTTACCTAACAATATCGCTATACAAACAGGAACAGAAACAAAGATGATTGAATTTCACTGGGGCTAAAAATAAGCAAGAAAGGAGGACCTGTAGAGAAGGAAACGGAACCGGCCACATACAGTGATAAAAAGAAACTGAACTCAGAGCAGTCACTTATCAGGGAAAAAAATCTAGATCTGCTCACAATCAAAAAACCCCACATTCTTTCAGAGACATAAGCCCTTCAAAAATTCTATGCCAAACTGCTGGCTATGCGTTCAACTTCTCACTAGTTTGCATTCGAAACAAACACTGCAGGCTGATTATCGGTGATACATGTAGGCAAACCTGAGTCCCTTCCTTAAAAAAAAGGAAGAGTGTTTACAAAATATTCTGTTAAATTGCTTTAGATAAAGTTTTACAGAGTTTATAGTTCCGCTACACAAATCCATGCTGGAGAGAACAATGGCCTAATACAACATCCTACCAGGAAAACAGTACCAATTGTCATTGCAACAAAAAGCTATAGTTAAATCCTCAAATATTATCCCCTTATTTGTAAAGAGTATTTGGACACAATTACATGTCTGTTTCACTCCTTCCTCAGGCTCCAATGCTGCAGTTTATTCTAGCTGGGCAAACTTACTCTTGCACAGAAAGAAACTGCATGCTCAGGCCTTCATTTCTCCTGACTGCCTATGGAAACTGTCTACAGCCGTGAGAACACAAAAGCAGGGATAGCTAGCTTTAGAACAACATGAAATAACTGGCACGCTTGATCCTGAAAAACAAGAAAAAGTAAAATCATAACACTAATTTTCCACGTTTTCTCCAGTTTGTTTGTTTTTCAATCTGACACTTGAGTATTGAGAAAGAACAAGGAAACAATACATACTACTGACATTAATCACATGTGTGAAGGAAGTGATCTTTGCAGCTTTCTCCCCGACAACAAAAAAAGCTACTGCATTCCCTGAAATCACATGCCTTAACTTACTTGCCCTAGACCTTACATAAGGCAAGATTTCTATGACAAAATCTGTGTTCAAACTGCTGCATGATTTATTTTTGGATGCTTTTTATGAAAAATCCAGGGAAAGAAAAACCTGCAGATCCAAGAATTGACAAGCAGACCTCCTGTTTTCTTTGAGTAACTAGCTGAAAGATACACAAGCAAGCAAAAAACCACCAAGTACATTAATATTGAACATAAGACTCTTTCAGCCATAGGAAAAAAACGTTAGTAGGATGACAGTTGTCCACCCACCATAACAAAACTGCAATTACAATATGCCTTTTTAGTTCGGTTTATGCTGAGCCATTACTGCAACTTACTGAAGTCATTCACTCAGGACAAGACAATACCTGTATTTCAATAAAGCAATAGGCTTCACCTGTAAGAAACACCTACATTCCAACCTGGTGTATACAGAGATGAGTTCAAAGGAAATAACTCCTGTTAAGGCTCTAAAGAATTATTGCATCTGCCTAAAAAAAAACTTATGCTCCAAACACATTTCCATTAATAATGTTTAGCATCTTTTTCTTATCCTCCGACCCCTGCTTTATACAACGTACGTCCATTTTACCTTTTGTCAGGCTTTTTGAAAATAGGCTTTTTGAAAGAGATCACTTCAACTACCTAAGCTAGAACTCCAAAAGTTCCTTTCAAAAGTTAATGTTCCTTTAATATTTAATGTAGAAGATTTGTATTAAAAACTTAAAAAACATTAATTATTTATATAAAACTCAGTTAGGGGGGGGAAAAAACCCACAAATTGTTGAGAGCCCCGCTTTTTCGGCAAGCTAGATCTCAGCCTTCAAGAAGCAGACAACAAAGGGAAGGATGAACTGACAGACCACGAACCAGAAAAAAAGACCTGTAAGGACTTACTGTGAGCTACGCCAAGCAGGAAGAGAGACTTTCAGAGAGCTGTGTGGGAGAGGCTCACAGGCGGACCAAGCCAC